ATTTGTTTCAATTATATTTTTTTTCCCAATTATTGTTTTTTTCAAATAATATTTTTTTCGTAACTAAGTTTTTTTTTTTATTTTTTTGGGATTAATAATTTTGTTTCAATTACTTTTGTTTCAATAATTTGGTTTGGCAGATAATTGTTTTTTTCAATTACTATTTTTCCAAATAAATTTTAAATTTCAATTAAAAATTTTTTCCCAATTTTTTATTTCCCAATTAATTTTTTTCATGTTTTCTCCAATTAATTTTCATGGACATAACAAATGACGTGCACTGAGAAAAAGTGTTTACACAAGAAACTTGTTTACACAACAAACTTATCCCATAGCTTAAGTGTCACACCCGTTTACCTGTTTTGTTGTGCTTGTCATGTCATCGAACAAGTCATCACAAACTATATGGCCTCGTTTATGTCCACTGCAACATCAACACAACCAGGCCCTATGTGTGCTTGTGGGTACAGGCATTGTGTGGTCAAGATTTCTTGGTCCGCCAAAAATCCAGGACGTGCTTACTACCAATGCCCTCGTCGAGTGGTGAGTACAAGCACCTTCACCTTGTTTGGGATTATTACCTTGTCAAACCGTCACTAATAATTTCATAATTTTTTTAACCTCAGCCATGTGTCAATTGGATTGGGTGGTGTGACGAATATGGCCAACAAACAGTTCTTGAGAATGACAGAGACAATGTTCGTCGTTTTGAGGCACGTTTGATTGACATTGAACAGAGTCTACGTGTACTTAAAGTTGTGACATTTTTTTTGTCCATCATCGTCGTTATTTTGTTGTTCCATATGTAATATATGTATCCGTGTTTAGATGGTTACTGTACTATGGTTTCCGTATGTGACATATGTATCCGTGTGTAGCTGGTTACCGTACTATGCTTTCCTTATGTAATATATTACTTATCCTTGTGCATTTCACTATTGCATATGTGTTGGACAAACATAATAATATATCATAAACACAACGAGAAGTAATGCACACAACAAACTAATAAGTAATGAAAATTATAATGTTCTATAGTCGCATGGCTTCAACTCGATCCGGTTCTCGTACCCCTTCTGGGAAAGGGAAGGGCCCAAAACCTTATCACAAAGCCAATTGGGACTGAGAGAACACACGTATCTATTTGAAACTTGTTAAGGAAATAGACGTAGGTAACAGGCTGCACATGTCAATCAATCCGAATGGGTACCTGTCTTTGGCTAAGACTTATGAGGCAGCAATTGGGTTGACGCATAGCATGAAACAGCTTAAAAATAGGTACAATCAACTAAAGGCGGAGTGGCGTGCATGGTCGAAGCTAATGGATAGCTGTAAAGGCCCCACTGGAGTTGGGTTCGACCAAGAGACTAGGTTGATCAATGCGTCGGATGAATGGTGGGCTACAATGGAGAAGGTAACGATTTGAACTCATGTTTACATATTTTTGTGTTTCACAATGTCGTTGAAATTGAATCTGCTGTAATTGAAGTGACTTTGTAAAGTATTCATAGGGACACATGTTGAATTGAAATACATTTGATTATACATATCAAGTAGGCATACCAAACAACCTATTGCTAAACTGAATCATTTCTGGAAGCTCCTAACAGATATATTTACATGTCAATTTGTTAGAAATTTCGTTTTTCATGCATGGTACAAGGGAATGCAAGGCTGCATCTGTTTTGGAAAAATTTTTTGGTTGAGACAAATCATTCAGAATCATTTTAAAAGTAGCTGGTTCAAAAACAATTTGTACTTAAAATATCATAAACATTTAAATAATATTTGTCATTGTTGTCTAATTGGGATACCAAGCAACATACCAAAATAGGGGTATTGTCTAGGGTGCCTAACCTCATAAGGCTTAACCAGAAAGTACTGTCTGAGCCAATGAAGCTGGAGTTTTGTAGTATTCTTTTTATTTTTGATGCATTCTGATTCTCCTTCAATGCTTTATAAGGGTTTGAGCTATGTTTTAGCATTAAATTTGTTATCAGTATGTTTTTCGATAATGAACTACTTTGTTTCTCTTTAATTTTATTGAAATGATGTTGTCTGGACATATACTCTTTGAATATTTTTTAAGCAATTCTAAACGTGTTGATGTCATCGAGCTTGCAAAGAATGCACAGATGATGAGACATACATGTCACAAATTTGTTATTGCAGCCAGATACAAATCGTGCTTTTTAATAGCCATGTGGACATGGAAAAGAAGTACTATGTCTTCAAAACTGATTCTTGCCATCATTATGCTTTTGCTTACTACTTTAATACTTGTTGAATGTTGGTAGTTTACATTTTTTTGGACCGTGAGACAAATCCTTCAACCGACCAGCAGATGAAGGTTCTCTGCTACAATGAAAAGTCTGTAATTATTACAATCTTAGTGATGAAATATATTATTACTGAAGACTGGAGGATGATTTCTCTCTGATAATAGCAGTGAGAGAAGTGTGCACTCCTATTTTTTCTTTTATCCTTTTTTTTTTTTTGGGTAGTTAGCAAGTATTGTAATACAGGCCTCATGTCCCATCTTTTTTGGACTGGTATATTGTGTTTATATGTTAACAGGGTTATGCCTGGGTGTTTATGACAAAAATATAGGGTTGGTGAATACTGACTGGTTTTACTTTCTTGGACCATGTATTATACAACATTATTTTGCAGAATCTGTATTTATTGGTTAATGCTTCGTTACCTGATTGCCCCTCCGGGAGTGCATATACTTGGGGAACTAGTTACCCAAAAAAAAAATGTATAATGGACGGATAATCAGTTGATGCTCTGTAAAGATCCAGGGTAACATGAAACATGCCATGACATACGGAAATATTGTGGCCTTTTTTTTTTTTTTTTTTTTTCCATTTAAGCACGTCAACTATTTATGCTTAAACTGTTCATTACTGATGTGCATACTCTATATACATAAGTTATTCATTTTGCTAATGGTGTACTCCCATTGTATTGTATTACAGGTTGACAAAGAGTGTTGCAAGTTCAGAACAAAGCGATTGGATCATGAGGAGTTGATTCGTCATGTATTCACGGGGGCTGCGACAACGGGTAAAAATGCTTGGACGCCTGGCGAGATGCGGAACCAGCTGGAGGTGGAAGGGGAGTCCGACAGTGCTGACTTCTCTACGGACAGCAACGAATTGGGTGCCTCTAAAACGGCAAATTTGATGAAATCTGCAACCATTAACGCATCAGGTAATGGCAGCAAAAGGAGGCACTCATCTATCACAGCCGTGCAAAAAAAGCGAATCACCGGGGCAGAAGCATTGGCAACAAGCATGGATGATTTGGTGAATTCGGTGAAGACACAAAGCAAGGAACTCACTATAAACCATGTTGTCGGTGGCCAAAGTGTCACTATGGCCGAAGCAGTTGAACATCTTTATGAAATTTAGGGACTTGACCAAACTAATCCACTGCTCCATTTCGGTATTTCCCTTATGGAGGTGCCCAATAATAGGGAGATGGTTATGAGTATTCCTTCCGATGAAGGCATTATCGGCTAGCTCTAGGTGAAGCAACAAGACAAAGAGAGGACGACAACAGTTCCAACTCTTGCAAGCATATTGCGCAATCAAGGACTTCGTTTCTAACTATGCTTTGCGTTGGACTTCTTATGCGTTATGTGTTGGACTTCTTTTCGCTTATGCATTGGACTTCGTTTCTAACTATGCTTATGTGTTGGACTTCGTTTATATTTGCTAAAGACCTGCGTTTTTATGAAATGCTTTGTGTTGGACTTCTTTTTGCTTATGTTGGTTTTGTATTTGCTAATGACATGATGTTTTCAACTATGCTTTGTAAGGAGAATTGGTAAGGAGATGGTTATGCTATTCCTGTGTACTCCATAGTTTTAAAATTATGGATGTGCATTGGTTGGGTATTGGCTATGGTTGGATTTTACAATTTTAAATTTCAATAAACCATGAATCTGATTACACTCTTCCAATTTGCAGCTTCATAGTTATGCAAACAGTGATTGTAAATCAACTGTACTCGACCATTTGAACAAAAGCGTTGCTACTTGTAGAGAGACATGTGAAGTTTACTGAAGGCTTCAACTTAAAAAGTGGAAGTTAGACCCTTTATAAGGTACTAAAAAAAACATAATAATTTAAGTTATTATTTTTGTATATTTTATTTGGACATTGTTCTTTGTATATGTAATTGCAATTTCTATATTGCTTATTAGTCAGAAAAAAGGAAAAAAAAAAATTACTACAAGTTACACCCTTTGTAAGGTGGAAAAAAAAAATGGACACAGTGTTAACGTCTGTTGGGAAACTTCAAATAAATGTCTTCACGTTTTTCATGCATTGGTAATAGAACAACACTATACACTAGAAGGTCTCAGAAGGATGGCAAATGAACTAAATTGATTATTTATGCATTTTTTTTTCCTGTTATTGACAGCCTTCACAATTGACCAATTTGTTTAATTTTTGCATGTTTAATTTTGGCAGAGTTGTAGTCTATCATGTCATGCTTCTGATTTTATTTAAAGTTATGTGGTTTAGGCATGGAAAGCGACGATGACACCGATGCACGGATGCAGGAAATGTGTGATAATGTCGCAGCGCTCGCAATCGAGTGGCAGACTAAAATGAATAATAATTATGTTGAAGCATACAGAATTGCCTTCGACTACTACAAGGCACACGTGCTTAAAGTCCAATGTCGCACGTCCATCTTGACGGGGAGGGCATGGATTTTGGAAATGTATAATGGACACAGTGGCAGATTTTGCTATGAACTGTGCATGCCCAAAGTCGTTTTCACCCGTTTATGTGCCACACTAGTGAACGACTTTGGGTTGCATGTACCTGAGCGGGACCACAACTTGCACGTTGAGGAGAGTGTTGCAATCTTTATTCATGTTCTGAAAAACTTGCCTAACTGCGAGCTTCCAGAAAGATTCCAACACTCCGGTGAAACAATATCACGCCATTTTCATAATGTTTTGAAAGCAATGAAAAAGTTTACCATCGCACACTATCGGCCGCCCACAGATTTCCAAAATAGGAGGGATCCCCACCTGCAGACCCAACCACAGTATTTGCCGTTTAAGGTGCGAAAAAAATGCAACAATTCGAGTTTCTTTTTTCAAATTCTACAAAGATGTCACTTAAAAAATGCGAGGCTATAATGCATAACTTCATGGTACTAATACGTTGCCTACTTGTTCGAATTGTGTAGGATTGTTTAGGTGCCTTGGATGGGACACACGTGCCAGCGTGCATAAAGGAGTCGGAAGCAGCCCCGTATTTTAGCCGAAAGGGTTGCCACACTCAAAATATTTTGGCAGTGTGTGATTTCAATGTGTTTCGTCTTTGTGTCATGTGGTTGGGAGGGTAGCATGCATGACAGCCGGATTTTAAACATTATCACCGAGGATCCGCAATATAATTTTCCAACTGCAGTGGATGGTACGTACGACCAGTTCATTTGTTCAATGCCATAACTTGTTAAATTTGTTTGCCCACACGTTAAACAAATATGTATTAATATGTACACATTCACAGGTCGCTATTATCTAGTGGATAGTGGATACAGTAATAAGAAGGGATTTCTTGCACCATATAAGGGCAGCCACTATCACCAACCACACTTTCAACGTCACAAGCCGAGGAATCGTGATGAGTTGTTCAACCGTGCCCACTCTTCATTGCGGAGTGTGATTGAGTGAACATTTGGCGCTTGGAAGTCGCGGTGGAGATTCTTGCACAACATGCCTCGGTTTGACTTTCGTAGAGTGCAGGTGCTGTTGGTGGTTGCATCTATGGCATTACACAATTTCATACGCAGAAATTGCGAGGATGATGTGACCATTGCTGCTGTCAGAAATGCGGCGGAGTACACGTATGACGATATTCCTGATCGCGCAGATTTGGCTGCCCTAGACAAAGCCGTCGTGCCTACGGACGAGGACGTTGAAATGGCGGAGGTGCGTGATCGGGTAAGGGCAGAGTTATACCAAATTCGGCACAATGGTAGGTAGTCGGACAATGTTGTTTACCATGACTACTTTTAAATGTTTTCCGTAGTATGTGTTTTGTGAAAACCGTCAGTAATGTCTTGTTTTGTAATTTTTTATGCATAACGTACTCGGTAGTTTGCTTATTTTAAGATGTCGTACGAATTTCAAAAAAAAACTTTCGAAATTGTCGTAGCATGCGTGTATGGTTAATGGAAAATCCCTATTTCACGGCTTGTTGAAACGAATTTCGTCACACATATTACAAGCATTAACTGTAAAGTCTGTAATTGTGCCTAATTACATTACGTAAAAAACATGGCACAAATTTTTCTTCAACTAACTAAAACTGAAAAATTAGTATTTGAGAAATAAGATAAAAAAGGGAGATGTATTTGAAAAATCTTTAAATAAACTACTTCCAATATTGCAAATTGACAATAATTTCAATTCTATTTCCCAAGTTTTCATCTATAACACCACAAACATTACCAAAAAAAGGGTGAATGTTATTCATTATGAAATTTGTTTTCGAAAATGTTGTGGACAGTAAAGAAATTACCATGTGTGTGGACCGTACACCTATGTCAAATTTTTGAAAAAAAAAATTGAGAATTTTTTAAAGAGTTTATTCGTGTGTGGTTTGGGTTTGGGAGATAAATTTATAAAAAAAGAAAAAAAAATTGGGGAAAGCATTTACAAATTTTTTTTGTTTGTTTGGTTGTATATTGTGGAAATAGTTTTCGAGTGTGGGAATTTAAAAAGATTGTATATTAGTCTGCACTTGAGTGGATGTGTGTGAGAGACAAAAGTGATTCAGAAGGAAAGCGGAGGAAAAAAAAAAGTGATTGATTTATGTATAGGAGATAGAAAATGATTTTGATTTTTTTTTTCAAAACCACTAAACCAAATAATATTTTAGATTGTTTCCCCTACATTTCTTTTCCAACTTTGAACCAAACAAGGCCTACATGTTGCATATGTGTTGGCGTCAAAATCCTGAAATTAAAAAAAAAAAGCAAATAATAATAATAATAATTAATTAATTAATTACCAATACATCACAACACAAACCATGAATCTGATTTTGCAATTACATGTATGTGGCCACGTGTGGTACTTTGACATTGGTTTCACAGTAGTCAAAAAGTTTACAGTAGTTGTACCTTGCTATATAAAAAAAAAAAAATTAAATATTTGTCAAAAGTTCCAACAGGTAGCTACAACGGACAGTTGCTGCATGTCTGCACCTGTCTCCATTTCCCACACTTCGAATTCCGTGCAAGGGCAAAAATGTCAAGTTTCAAACTTTCATTTTTTTATATTATTTCTTTACACATTTTTTCGTAAAAAGCCAAAAAGTTCATCCCAAACAACTTAGTTTTTTTTAGCTCATATTTTAGCCAAATAGTAAAAAAGTTACTAAATTAGCCTGTTCCCAAACGGGGCCTACTAGAAAAAGAAAGAGGAAGAGTTACAACATAATTTGGTTCGCTAGACTTGATTTTATAGTGCTGCAAATTCAAGTGTTAGTCGTTGCATTCTGGGAAGTAGACGCTGGTAAAACTCGAAGTACCGGAGTAAGGGCGAAATCTACTTTAAGAAGATTGTGTCTAACACAAGTCTCGACTTTAATTTCTGTAAGTTTTTAATTCAAAATATAATTTATATAATTATTTTTTGAATTATTTTATTTTATTATATATTTAATTTACACACACCCACTGAGGGAATAACAGTTGGGGAAAGGACAAACCTTTGGTTGTTGAAGTGCATATCATTTTCAAAACATTAACTGCCTTGTTTACAACTTAGGTTTGCCAGGTTCTAAGGTGAAGGTAATAATGATGAAACTATGGTTATTAAAAGAAAGAAAATGGCTTTGGTTTACTTTAGGGGCTTGTTTGGCCACCTCCTAAAAGAGTATATATATATTTTTTATCTTTTTATTCTATTTGGGTCATATCACTTCTCTATTATATGTACATCTTTTTATAAAAAATAAAATATTATTAAAATAGCTTATTTCCGATCACACTACCCAACTCAGTATTCAGGGAGTAGAGAACGGAACTAATGATATACTCTTAGCCCGAGATTTGGATCTTCTAGAAGAACGAAGGGAGAAAGCTGCGATTTAGCTCGCAGCATACCAGCAACAGCTTGCCAGAGCTTTTAACAAGAAGGTTAACCCAAGGGAATTTCAGATTGGTGACCTCGTCTTAAGAAAAGTCGTCGGCAACAAGAAGGATCCCAGAGAGGGCAAGCTTGGCCGAAATTAGGAAGGACCCTACAGAATCATCTTGGTGCTGGGCAATGGGGCATATCGGCTTGAAGATAATGAGGACAAAGAGCTGCCAAGGCCTTGGAACACTTGCAATTTGAAATTTTTTTATCATTAGAATGCATTTGTTCCTTTACCATTTGCCGAAGTAAATAAATAAAGATTCAGATTGGTTTTCTTTTCAAGATACTTGACATTGTCTCTAGAATACATGTATAATGAGAACCCAAGTGGAACTCAGGTTCACATTAGGGGGCAGAGAGAAGAAGAATATGTTTAACACTTGTTGAAATGTGTGGACAATTTACAAGTTGAAGTTAAACCGAAATCATTGTTTAACACTTGTTGAAATTTGTGGACAATTTACAAGTTAAAGTTAAATCGAAATCATTGCTTAACACTTGTTGAAATTTGTAGACAATTTACAAGTTGAAGTTAAACCGAAATCATTGTTTAACACTTGTTGAAATTTGTGAACAATTTACAAGTTGAAGTTAAACCAAAACCATTGTTTAACACTTGTTGAAATTTGTGGACAATTTACAAGTTGAAGTTAAACTGAGATTATTGTTTAACACTTGTTGAAATTTGTGGACAATGTACAAGTTGAAATTAAACCGAGATCATTGTGTAACACTTGTTGAGATTTGTAGCAATTTACAAGCTGAAGTTAAACCCAGATTATTGTTTAAACACTTGTTGAAATTTGTAGCAATTTACAAGTTAAGTTAAACCGATATGATGTTCAACACTTGTTAAAAGTTTACAAGTTAAGTTAAATCGAGAAGTTTGTCTATCCGAGGTGTGTCACCCCAAGAAGATTGCACAAAGAAGGAAGAGTATGTTAAAGACATGCAGAATATTCTAAGTATAGAATCACGCAAAAGCAGTCAAGAGAAGAAAAGGTACAAGCACTCAGTGAAGGAAAGTTGTACTAAGCATTTAACAAAAAGAGGGCACATTGGCCATACAAAGAGCTTACATTATCTCAAAAAACAAAATTCGAAATATAAGAAACAAAAAGACATGAAAACTAAGATTCCTCAGCATCGGTAGTGAGCTGGGTTGGGACCTCAAAAGACTGTTAAGAAGCCACCTCGGCCGCCTTCTTCGCCGCCAGCTCAGCATCAATCTCTTGCAAGGTTTCATCAATACTCTTGTCGGCAAGGGGGACGTCGGCTGAAACCCTCTCAGGAGGACCTCATCACCTTCCTCATCTTGAGTCAAGTCTAGGACTTGCTCATTCAGAGAAGAGGACTTGGCCCCATTAGCCTCCTTGGAGTTCCTGACCAAGGTCTCCTCCTCTTCAGATTCAGAATCATCATCAGATTGAGCTGGTGGAGAAGTTGGAGGGAATAGAAGAGGAATGGCGTTGGCTTTCTGAAGAAGCGAGTCCTCGGGGACCTCAAGCTTTTTCAGAAGAGACATCCAACCAAGGGTGAAATCCCTGTTGCATGCCTGCTTCACCTGCCTTTCGTAGGCCTCCGTGACATCGGCCATGCCCTGAGCATATGCCTTCTCATCGGCATCCTTGATTTCGGTTTCTTTCGTGGCCAAGGCCTCTTGAAGCTCTTTCTAGGTCTGTTCTATCTTTTCCTCGGCCTCTCTTTTTTGGGCCTCAGAAACCTTCCTGATGGCCTCGGCAGATTCAGCCTTTTCTTCGGCATCGGTTTGGGCCTTGATGGCGGCCTCGGTTTGGTCCTCCAACTTCTTCATTTTTGATTGAAGGCTTTTGTTGGCCTTTTGAAGAGAAGAGAACTCCCTCTTCATCTCGGCCAACCTCTCTCGATTTTCAAAAGATTGAATAGAGAAAGAATGGGCATGTTGGATAGCCTGAAAAAATACAAGACAAAAGTTATTAGAAAATTTCTAAGTATGAGAAAGAAGGAAAAAAGTGCCAGATGAAAGACACTTACTTGAACAGAACGCTGAAGCATCAAGGCATAATTCTCGTACTCGCTGAACTCGGCGTTTCGCTCCAGATCGCCTGGAAGAAGCAGAGCAATACTGAGGGCAACGTCGACATTGATATCATCAGCGCTATCACTAGCCATAACAGGCTTATCTTCCAAAGTGATTTCGGGGCCCAGGGGGCATCAGGCTTTTTAGACCCTGAGGTTGTTGCAGAAGATGACCTTGGCCTTTTGGATTTCAGATGGAAGTGTTTCAGCGGACCTCTTCGCGAGGGTAGAGGCAGTCTTCTCACTCGGAGCCAGTTTGGAAATTGGCAGGATATCCTCAGAATCGGTCTGAGTCACCTTTGCCTTGGGCTAAACCTTTTTGGTTCGTTTTGGCTTTGGTGGAAGCTGGGTTTGTGTTGGTTGTGCATCAATGTCAGAAGGGATGCTGGCCAAGAGGTCTTTTGCAACTGGTTTTGGGCGACCTATCTCGACAGAAGAAACTGTTCGGCGTCGACGGC